AAAGCATATTGATTTAAAAAAAAAAAAAACAGAATAAAAGAAAATATATTATAAAATTATAAATACTATTTTAAAATACTTTTGCACTTTTATTTAAATAGACACTCGTCAAGGCATATGATTTGGTCATGAAGGTAGATACAAATGTTAAAATATGTAAATATAATCAAGTTATATAAGTGTTACTTTATTTTAAAAGTTCTATATCCATGCTTAGATATATTTTTAAATATTATAAATGGACAAATAAGAGTTATATATAGCCACGAACGAGTATATATATATACTCGTTTGTTTATTAGCGGATTGAACCATACAAAAGATCTTATAAAAGGGAGACAAAAAAACTCCATAGAAGAGACTAACCTAATCCATAAAGGAGACTATAAAAAACTCCATGAATGGAGGCTAATGATAAAAAACAACAAAATAAAATAAGAGCAAACTAGTAATAAAACAAACAACTATAAACTAAAGCCCTCTCTGACTACTAGCAAGTTATGTCAACGCCACCATCTGAGACAGCTAATCGAAACCGGACACACAAAGAAGAACACTACCACAACGGAAACATAACAAATCCAGGAACTCCCAGCTCTGCAAGGTAAAGGCTATCCACATCTCTCACTACCGAACTAGATTTATCCTTCAAAGCGACAAAAAATGAGAGAACAACCGGACTAGAAAGGACCATCATCACATCTCCTCAACTGCGATAACCCGACTGTCGATTGATGGCAAAAGAGAGGAGCCCAAGATGGGTCTACCATCCCCGCTGAACAATCTTGATCGAAATATCGCAGAAAATGTGTAGCAGTTGTCGGCGCCCTCGCTGACAATAGCTAGGTCGGAGCAGCTAGCTGTGGAGGCACTATATTTGCTCATTTTTACCTTTTTTTTCCTAGTTTGAGTCCCTCCGAAATTTTTCATCCACCGAGCTTTTAGTTTAGAAGCTTTTCGAGAAAATCACTAGCTTGAAAATTCAATAGTCGTAACAGTAAAAACTGAAACCCTAAGTAGCAGTCCGAGAAAGAAAACAAAATCCAAACAACTGTGAACAAAAAATCAAAGCAGGAAGCGTGAATCAGACCCAGAGGGACGACCGAATGGGACTCCAGGAGCTGCGATTGACAGTTGAGCCAGGAAAAAAGCGGCGCAAAAGCGGCTAGCCGAGTAACAGAGCACCTGGATTGACACGATGGTCTCATGGCAAAGTTGTTGGAACTAAGGCGCTTAGAAATTTTGGTTATTCACCAAATACTTATTTGAAAAAACGTTATTTGAATCTGAAATCACCTAATACAATTAACTATCTACTAATGCAAACAAATACAATCAGTTTATCAATTATCTCTAACTAAATCTCGAAGTCATAGAGCTATGAAATACGAAACATTGACAATTTTGCATCGTAATTACTATTATGCATCGCATATATAGAAGGGATATTGTTTCATTTCTTTAGTAATCTTATTGGTCAGGCGACTAGGCGGCGTTTAGACGGGCCTCAGTGGGCTTGGCGATAATTTTTTTTTTTTTAAATACAAATTATATTATTTTGATATAATATTTTCGTTATAATATATTAATTATTATTGTTTGGACCTATGCGTGCGATTTATTATAAATTTTGAGATAATATTATTTTGTATAGTAAAAATAAATAAAAAATAAAATATTTAATTTTAACTTATAGTCTCGCCAAAACGCTCTAGGCATTGATAATACTAAATAAACTTCTAACATGCATCTAATAACTTCTAAAACACTAAATAAACATTTATCAGGCACCTAACAACTTCTAGAAAACTAAATTTTTCTTCTTACGAAGTTATGCAATCTAAATTTGTCTTCTTACCAAGTTATGCAATATAATATTGTCAGTAATGATCCCCTACCCACGGTGGACACTTGTTAATATGTCCACCGCTTATGTGATAATACTGCCAAGTGCCAACCACTTATACAAAAAAAAAAAAA